TCGCTAAGTGAACGTAAGTACTTACGCTCTATTTTCTTGTCTATGATTGGTGGGTTTTGCTTGAAAGGCCGTCAATGATTGGCTGATGAACTTGCGATCTCTTAACTTTTTTGAGAGTATAGGCCCAGGGGCCATACTTTCATAATTCGCTAAGTGAACGTAAGTACTTACGCTCAATTTTATTGTCTGTGATTGGTGGATTTGAAGCCATTGAAAAGCCGTCAATGATTGGCTGATGAACTTACGATCTCTTAACTTTTTTTGAAAGTATGGGCCCTGGGTCAGCAGTTAACACTGTCCTCGCTACCTACGTCAGTACTGTCAGCACTATAGCAGTACTCTTTCAACACTATGTCGATCAACTTTCAACAATGTATTAAAATTATGTTGTGGATTTAAAACAATTATCACTAGGAAAAGTTATTCGTTATCATGCAAGGATCTGACAACAGTTACTCGTTGAGAATGACTGACAGTGTATCTTCAAATTTTACAGTTAGTCACAGAAATAATTTCGTACGATTGACCTTGGAATTGTTCTTTCACGTTGTAATGGAGAGTTTATACGGTTTTAAAAATTCAGCACTTTTGAAAAGAAAAAGTTGAAATTATTAAAATAAAAATTTGATTAAAAATGGTGATGGAGGCATTCTAGAGCTGAGACAAAAAATAGGTGGAGTAAGTGACCTGACAGAAGGGCTTTGATTGATCGGATGCAAGTTAAATTTAACATGAGGTGGAATTTACTTCAGCTTTTTGACTAGGCGACACCCGACTTGAAATGCTACTTAAATTTAACATGGGGTGGAACAGAACTCACTTCAGCTTTTTGACTAGGCGACACCCGACTTGNGCTCACGTCTAGACTGTCAGCGTTGAGCACAATAAGCGCCATGCCCTGGGCACATACAATAACTGTAAATGTATGCTCACGTCTAGACTGTCAGCGTTGAGCACAATAAGCGCCATGCCCTGGGCACATACAATAACTGTAAATGTATGCTCACGTCTAGACTGTCAGCGTTGAGCACAATAAGCGCCATGCCCTGGGCACATACAATAACTGTAAATGTATGCTCACGTCTAGACTGTCAGCGTTGAGCACAATAAGCGCCATGCCCTGGGCACATACAATAACTGTAAATGTATGCTCACGTCTAGACTGTCAGCGTTGAGCACAATAAGCGCCATGCCCTGGGTGAGGAGGCGGCAGGAGTGGCCGATGTTGATGGCGGTCTCTTGCTTGTCTCCGGTCAACACCAGGAGTGGCCGATGTTGATGGCGGTCTCTTGCTATCGTCTCGGGGACCTGAGGTTAACGAGTAACGCCAGCAGCAACGCTGCTATCGTCTCGGGGACCTGAGGTTAATAACCAGTAATTAATTCATACGTAGTAATAGAAAGGCAGATATGACAGTAATATAACAACGAGTAATTAATTCATACGTAGTAATATAGAAGCCAAAATAGTAGTAGTCATAGAAAGACGAAAATGACAGTTATACCACGATAGACAATTCCTTGAATCTACAGTTCACAAATCCGACAAAAAATCTACGAGAATTGACTACCACTTTTGATGGATGACAAACTGAGTGATCATGGGTTCTAGGTTCTGGTTGAAAGCAGAGAGTCCATGAATTCTAGGTTCTGGTGTTGAAGTAGAGACCTGGTCCTATAATGAATTCTAGGTTCTGATAGCTGAAGTAGAGACCTGGTCCTGTAATGAATTCTAGGTTCTGATAGCTGATCTAGAGACCTGATCCTGTAATGAATTCTAGGTTCTGATAGCTGATCTAGAGACCTGATCCTGTAATGAATTCTAGGTTCTGATAGCTGATCTAGAGACCTGGTCCTGTAGTTTATCCTCGATGGCCGAGGCACCGAGCAGCTGCAGGTTCTTTTCTATGAGCTGCGCCGCATCTTCCAGCTTCTTCTCGCGGTCCTCCAGCGCCGTGCTCGCCTCGTAGAACGTCTTCTTCCATCCCTTCAAATGATTACATTTTGAGAATCAATAGCCTATGAAGAAGGGTTTCTCTTCCCTATGAAAAGAGTTAAATGATAAAGAGTTTCTCACGAAAACTAAGATAAATAAATTGAGTGACTACGAGCATCTTAGCAATAGAGTTCCCGTTCAGTGGTTGAAACCTATATAGAACATAACTCACACAAAGGTTTACGTTGAGCTGCAAATTCTTCCATTAGAAGGGAGAGAAAAAGGCATTAATTTCAATTCAATAAAAAGTTTGTAATAAGAAATAAACCTCATAGAAAGAAGGAGATATGTCAGCTACGGCGAAGCAGAGCGTCCTCAGGCCCTCTGATGCGAACTCCTCCAGGTGTCTGATGGTGGCGTCCTTATACTGACTGCTCGGCGCCAGCCGATCATAGATAACCTGCCCAATATATTTATTTACATCAAATTAAAGGCACTACATGATAGTGTCTTGATTTCTTCAGAATATTGGAAAAGAAATTAGCAATACACATAATGAAGAATACGAAATTACATGTTTATAAATCTCTGACTGCTCGGCGCCAGCCGATCGTAGATAACCTGCCCAATATATTTATTTCCATCAAATTAAAGGCACTACATAATATTTCCACATTTCATATTGTCTTGATTTCTTCAGAATATTGGAAAAGAAATTAGCAATACACGAAATCAAGAATACGAAATTACATTTTTATAAATCTATAATTATGGGAATTGAAATCGATACTTTTCATCTTCCAAAAATAATGTAAAGTAGAGTAGATTTTACGCAGAGAATTGCTCAACTCCGTGATAAAGTTGATGATATTCATGACTTCCATAAAAAATAAAATGCGAATTATTAACATGAGAATAGCACAACCTTGAAAAGGCAGACAATACAACTTTTATTTTTAGCGTATTTTCTCATTTATGGAAATAAGGCGATATTGTGCTCGTCATGTCTGTCCGTCCGTCCGTCTGTCTGTCTGTGACCACGTTTTCATCGACGAGAAAATGCGCTCTCGGTCACTCACTGCAGTGAGTACTGAGTTATATTTATTTTCATTTGATTACCCAACTCACATTGTCAGCTCCTTTACAATAGAGCTTGATGGTGTTATTAGGGAGCCGTACTACGACACTCATCCTCTTACGTGCCGACGTGAACTCTAGCACGTGCAGCACGTGGAACTGTTCCTTCTTGCCGAGCGCGTCGAGTATCACGTAGTCGGGGGTGCGCGTGGTGAACACGAAGCCCAGGTCCTTGGCACCTTTCACGAGCGCTCGCTCATCTGTATAAAATATTTATACAACCTCGAAATATATACAAAAATCTGGAATGAAATACGTCGATGACACTTACAACCTCGAAATATACACAAAAATCCAGAATGAAATACGTCGATGACACTTATAACCTTGAAATATATACAGAAATCTAGAATGAAATACGTCGATGACACTTACAACCTCGAAATATACACAAAAATCCAGAATGAAATACGTCGATGACACTTACAACCTCGAAATATATACAAAAATCCAGAATGAAATACGTCGATGACACTTGCAACCTCGAAATATATACAAAAATCCAGAATGAAATACGTCGATGACACTTGCAACCTCGAAATATATACAAAAATCCAGAATGAAATACGTCGATGACACTTAAAAACTCGAAATATACACAAAAATCCAGAATGAAATACGTCGATGACACTTACAACCTCGAAATATATACAAAAATCCAGAATGAAATACTTCGATGACACTTGCAACCTCGAAATACATACAAAAATCCGGAATGAAATACGTCGATGACACTTGCAACCTCGAAATATATACAAAAATCCAGAATGAAATACGTCGATGACACTTGCAACCTCGAAATATATACAAAAATCCAGAATGAAATACTTCGATGACACTTGCAACCTCGAAATATATACAAAAATCCGGAATGAAATACTTCAATGACACTTTAATGAAAGCAAGATTCATTTAAAATTGAACTAGTACTAATTACAAGATGAAGCAATCTTAGTCAACGCGTTAAATAGTATTTACACAACCCTGCAATCCTGCAGGGTTCATCGTTGTTATTATTTACACAGGGTTGTTATTATTATTTATTATTGGCAGGATTATTATTTACACAACCTCCTGCAGCAATTAAATAGTATTTAATTCAACAAACTGCACAACCGCAAGTAAGTTGCAGTACATTTAGAAACTAATTTGGAACATACGACCAGTGCAGCACATAGCAGCAAAACGACATGAAAATATTATTATAAGTAAGGGATGATATTTTAGCGTTTCTAAATTTTAAGCAAGATTCAAGGAGATTAATTACTGATACTTTTCAGAACTATCAATGGCCTCCTCAGACACATGTTTAAACACAATAACTAATGCATTGTAAGGCTAATGAAGAAAAACAGGTTCACGTACTACCGTAACAAAACTGAAGGATATGAGGAAGTAGCAATACATCAATAAAATCTGAGACAATGCGGACAATGGTGCGGCGTTTTTTCCCCAGTTTTCTCGGAAAGAAAACTGGGGAGAAAACAAGGAGCTACCACATATGCCATCTTCTGAAACATGGGGCGGCATTGCAGATACTAAATAGCCGATATTGTTTACCTTGGACATAGCACATTTTCCTGCAAATTGGTTTCCCGTCTAACGACCTAAACACTAAGAACAGAGAATTCGCTATGTTCTTAGTGTTAGCACAAAGTGAGAGTTAGTTGACGTTTAGATGTTACACGTTCTTCTTAAGACGTTACACGTTCTCCGAATATCGAAACGTTCTCCAATGTCCTCATGTACGTGCGTGCAACCATTGGTGAGCTTTTTTAGCGCATTTTCTCATTTATGGAAAAAATGCACTATTGTGCTTGCTATGTCCGTCTGTCTGTCCGTCCGTCCGTCCGTGACTTCACGTTTTCGTCGACGAGAAAATGCGCTCTCTGTCACTCACTGCAGTGAGTACTGAGTAATATTTTTTTCAATTATAGAGTATCCACCGTATTATTATGAATATGAATATGAGTTGTTATTGAGAAACAGAGGTCAAGACAGTGCCTGCGGACCTGCCATCGTCGACAGCGTAGACATTGCCAGCTACAGAGCAGCTCTTGAACTCCATGATGTTGCTGCGAGGTACCAGTGGACGCTGGCGTCCCACTGGGAGTTACACACGGCCATGATGAGGCACAGGATGATCAGTAGGACGAACAGCAGAATAATGAGGTGGTTAGTGAGCCGGTCAACCTGCAAGTAATAAATATTATAACATGGCGGAGTCTCCATTGAAATTTAGGCCTAGTTCGGTCTATCATTGATTCTAGATTTCTTAATATGTTCACAGTTAGCATGGACTTGAACCGGCCTCCCTTAAATCCAATTTAGCGCTCTTAGGCGTTTGATGAAAAAATAATTGCAAAATATATTTCAGACGTTACGCTGTAAACAGTACTAACGGTAGATCGTTTAAGGGGAGCAGAGGCAGCAGAATTTTTCATTAGTTTGCAAAATATATTTCAGACGTTACGATGTAAATAGTACTAACGGTAGATCGTTTGAGGGGAGCAGAAGCAGCAGAATTTTTCATTAGTTTGAAAAATATATTTCAGACGTTACGCTGTAAATACTAACGGTAGATCGTTTGAGGGGAGCAGAGGCAGCAGAATTTTTCATTAGTTTCGTCTCGTGGCCGGTATAGATGACGACTCCGAAGATCCAGTTGGTGTTCTGCAACTTAGCACCGCGCAACAGAACTTGGTCCGGACTAAGAGGCACGGCTCTGGAACGAGGTTTCCATGTACAAACACTCCGTGTGAATGATGTTACACGATAGATAATGGAATTGGTTAGGAATTGGTTTGAAAATGTAGCCACAACGTACAAGTCGTATGATGGGACACATAGATTTTGTTCGAATAGTTAGCTAAAATAAACGGAAAAGACGTATGATGGTAAATGGTACAAACACTCCGTGTGAATTAATGATGTTACACGATGGAGAATGTAATTGGTTTGAAAATGTAGCTACAACGTACAAGTCGTATGATGGGACACATAGATTTTGTTTGAATAGTTAGCTAAAATAAACGGAAAAGACGTATGATGGTAAATGGTACAAACACTCCGTGTGAATGATGTTACATGATGGAGAGTGGAATTGGTTTGAAAATGTAGCTACAACGTACAAGTCGTATGATGGGACACATAGATTTTGTTTGAAAAGTTAGCTAAAATTAACGTAGAAACCATTTGGTGGTAAATTACATTTTATTCAAAGGCTAGCTTCAATGTACACAAAATTTACAGCTATCTAATGGTAACAACATCGGAGAAGTTGTCCAATTTTCAGAAAATTTTGGCAACATACATTAATTATCCGTGTTGTCAAGAAATGGTTACAACAAAAAAGAATTCTGCAGATTGTCAAGAAATAGTGACGAAACATAAAAATCTAGCGGATTTTCGAAAGATATTAGAACAGAAATCTGTCAATTATGGAAAGATTTTGTCGGTTTCTTCAAGATAATGATAGTATACAAGTATTTTACAGATTGGCAAGGCAATGTGTAGGTATGGTATTATGACGGTAAAAGGAATCTTCTCATAGGATTGTTCCGTAGCCCCTCAGGAGTCAGTATACGCTCACACTAAGCTCTTTCCTACGCAAACACTAATCTCTCTTCTTACCTTCTGGAACCTTTTCTCAAACACAAAACTCAGCGGATTTAGATATGTGACAATTAAAAACAACATATTTACGATACATCTTACATGGATTATCTTACATAGACAAGGATTATATAGAAGTTCAAGAATCAATGACAACGTGGAGTAACTATGCAGACCTTCGAAAGTCACGCATTTTCAATTCATCGAAAATGTTCACAAAATTAAATCTCATGAACATAAAGTGCATGAAATTATAAGTACAGTCAAATGATGCAGTGCATCTAACGGCTTGGCATCTTCACTGAGGTTGCCAGTGAACTGATACAGGAATCTGTTGGTATCTCATGAATATAAAGTGCATGAATTCATAAGTACAGACTATATTGCGCATGGCGCCACCTTCCTAGGACTAATGGCCGCCACGTGGCGCGCAATTCAAATAAGTAAGTTCCCGCGCCGCACCCTGTATAAGTACAGTCAAACGATGCAGTGTATTTTACGGCTTGGCATCTTCACTGAGGTTGCCAGTGAACTGATACAGGAATCTGTTGGTATCTCATGAATGTAAACTGCCTGAAATTATAAGTTATCTCAAGAATGTAAAGTGCATGAAATTATATGTACAGTCAAACGATGCAGAGTATCTTACGGCTTGGCATCTTCACTAAGGCTGCCAGTGAACTGATACAGGAATCTGTTGGTATCTCATGAACATAAAGTGCCTGAAATTATAAGTACAGTCAAACGATGCAGTGTATCTTACGGCTTGGCATCTTCACTGAGGTTGCCAGTGAACTGATACAGGAATCTGTTGGTATCTCATGAATATAAAGTGCATGAATTCATAAGTACAGACAAATTATGCAGTGTATCTTACGGCTTGGCATCTTCACTGAGGTTGCCAGTGAACTGATACAGGAATCTGTTGGGCAGTTCGCACTCGAGACGGCCTCGTAAGCTGATCAGATCGCGGGCCTCAAGTCTGTGCGCCGTCTGGGACACGCCTTGTCGGATCTTCAGGTTCGTCTCACCGTCAAGATTTGCCGTTTCGATGTAGCAGATGGCCTGGGGCTCGCTGGAAACAAAAGGTGAATGTATAATTTTAAGCATAATTATAATAAAATATCATAAAATTGCAGGTTCATTCCCTTGAAGTTTTGTTATTTAACCCGTGAATGTTCGACTTTAAGCATAATTATTATAAAATATAAAATTGTACATGCATTCCATTGAAGTTTTGAAATAAAACCCGTTTTAATGACGACTAAAACAAGGGCTGACTTGCAAAATAAAACCTTAAAATTATTATTTTCAACCTTTGTCAGTAAATGAAGCATTAAAAAATAGCAGAACATTCAACAACTTAGCGATACTTGACGCCATAAGATGCTTAATCGTTGTTTTTCTTTAAACGCAACTCCAGAGTTTGTTTTAAATGTTTGAAAAATTACATTTTGTATTTTAATGTTGACACTTTTTTAATTCCATACGTTGATCAGAACAATCAATCAATATTCCATTCCAGCATCAGCCAACCCTCAAAACCTCACTTGCTATACACTGAGAGAATTGAACGAGTCATATCTTCCAAATAGTGACACACTTTCTGCAAGTAGCACAGATACGCCTTTGTGCCGGATCAGACTGGGTGAGGATGACCCAGAACAATGGCACAAAGGTATATCGCTATTTGCATATGTATCACTGATTTCTCGCAAAAAGTGTATAGATATTTGGACAAATGTCAATATTTTCCATGAGTAAAGGACACAAGTGAGTTACACAAAGGACACAAGTTAGTACAGCACCTGGATGCGAGAAGGATGAGGTCGGCAGGGAAGAAGTTGTTGTTGTGGACTTTAATAATGTCGCCGACTTTGACTCGCCGCCATTTTACATTTAGATTTTATAATTTCATATTATTTTATTTGCATTTTATACATTTTACATTTAAATTTTTTTATTTTATATAATTTTTTTATTTATATTTTATACTGTTTTACATTTACATTGCTTCCTTATAAAAACTTCCAAGGTGAGCATTTCATTAAATTTTCATGATGGACACATTGTTGCAAGTTGCAGGGTTGCAACTGATGGAAAAAGTGGGGTTCATAAAGTTACGCGTTAATACCTTATTTCCACAGGATTGTTTATCAAAATTTGAATTAGTTAGGTATTAGGATAGTCTGTTGTAAGGCAGGAAAACTATGAAATTTCAATTGGATAATATTCTCAAAACGATACCTATCATTATAATTATCATATCTTCATATCATTTTTTTATTTCATCATAAGTACCAATACTTATTTCCTGACAACAAAGTCTTCTGATGAGACAATCGAATGTCGAAACCTACTCGCGGAAAGTGGAAAGTTTTATTAAAAATAAAGAAAATCTAGCAAAGGTTCCGGCAGCGATTGCAGTCGCTGTAAACGTAAGTAAAATGGCAATTGGCGAAGGCGGCGTTGAGCCATGTTGCTAGGCGGCCTGAAATCCAAGAGCGACCTTCTTAAACCCTGACTATTTTTACATCAAGGCTCGGCCGTTCTCTTGGGAAGGGTGACAATTTGTCCGCGACAGTCGAGCGATCCAGCCTTTTAATGAAGCCTAACTGAACGACTTACTCACTAAAGACTAAGAATAAGAATTGGTTGTCCTTAGAATGAGAGCAAACAAGAAGTTGAGAATAAAGCAAGGGTAGCAGCAGCAACAAATACGATGTACTATTACCACAAAAAAAAGTGGTATTATATGAGGCATGCGATGCATTTGTAATGTTAGCTACTTAAATTATACAACCACTTCTGAAGAGTACCATATATGGTAGGTAGGAAAGTACCGGCCGTGCACTCAAACCTAACAGTAATCAATAAACAAGGAGTGATTTCCTCAAGTCGTCGTCAATATTCTTCTTTTTAGCGCATTTTTTCATTTATGGAAAAATTCACTATTGTGTTCGCCGTCCGTCTGTCCGTCCGTCCGTCCGTGACTTCAAGTTTTCGTCGACGAGAAAATGCGCTCTCTGTTATCTACTGCAAGGAGTACTGAGTTATATTTTTTTAGAAAATTTTCGTCGTAATATGCAAACTTGTGCCTACGAAGATGCGACTCCGAGAACGACACAAACTAGGATCAGAATGCCTACATCAAACTAGAACATGCAAATTGGCGTATGACGATTAATAATATTCATCGAAAAGCTGTGTCTGAAATATATTTTTTTATTACATCACACCATTTCACACCATTTTAATTGGGTTAAGTGAATTTACTATATAAAAAATATAATCAGTACTCACTGCAGTGAGTGACAGAGAGCGCATTTTCTCGTCGACGAAAACATGAGAAGTCACGGACCGACAGACATGCAGACAGACAGACGGACGGACATGACGAGCACAATAGCGCCTTTTTCTATAAATGAGAAAATGCGCTAAAAACTGTTGCCAACAGTAGCGCGACTCGAAAAAGACGCATGCTACCAATAATGAATGCCGTGGCCGCCGGTCGTGGTAAAACAATATTTTCTCTCTCAATGTCCCAGGGTCTTGCTAGTGGCAAAAAAGATGTAATGCAGCCGAGCCCAAAAAAGAGTCTATTAGAGTGGCCGCCATCGAGGACACGTTTTTATGTGACTTTATGATGATAACTTGACGCCAGGAAGCAGAGTGCAATAGCGACATTATCACCACGCCACTCTGCGCATTACACGCCGCAAGTATCCTACGCTGAGAGTCTCGCGGCAAAACATTATTCCCAACCCAAAAATTGCCATGAGAAGATAAATATTTGGGTTTCTCCCTTTCCATGTGAAGAGTAATATTCTTGTTCCTGATCTCATATTATGAACATTTAAGACACTGCCTGAACAATCTCTAAAACACCCCAGTCGCCCTCTAGACTCTCTTTCATTTTATTTTATACAGAAAGAGAGCACTTCATTTAACTCTAACGCTCAGGGCAATCCATTCATGCTATGCCTTTTTATGCAACTAAAGCAATTTACATACACCATATAAACAACCATTGCACACAAGTAATCACTTTAATAAACTAACTACGCGGATTTTAAACACCTTCATAAATATTTGCGAATGAAAATACACAGAAATTTGGTACATTTTAACCATTTAATTCAGAACTTATGTCAACAGTGAGGTTGGATTAAAAAAAGTAGGGACTAAGGGATATCGCAGAATTACGAAACCCGGTAAAAATAAGTGGCTTTCTTGGTGAGGTTGAACCTGAGACATTCAATTTATTATTCAAATTGCATAAACAAACATAGGTACGAATTGAACTTAAAAAGACATTATTCAAACTTGAGAGCTGAACGAGAGAGTCCTACAACTGACAGTTCCGATAATAAAACCATCAAATACATAATGTGATAGAAACACCCACTTTCCCTATAAACAACGCATTGCTGTGCTTGAAAAACACTTACGCACTCCTTTTAACGCCATAAATATCAAAAAGCAGCTGCACAGACTGCGACAGCAAATTGGCTAAGTAAGAGTGAATCCAGTGCGTGAAAAATTCTCACCTGCAGTAGAGCGATGACCAGGAAAAAGATGTTAGCGTATCTCCGGAACTGTTCGAAGAGGAACATGGGTAGGAAGAAGAGGAGTCGGTAGCGATACTTGGCCGTGCTGATGGCATTACTGCAGTATTTCTGCAGCTGTGGGTCATTGAAAATGATTGTGCGGTGCTGCTGCTGAGAACCCGCCATCCCGCCACCACCGCTGCCGCCACCAACGCCACCTACTCCACCACCTCCCTCCGCGTCGCTCCCGCCGCCGCCGGACTCGTCATCTGAATCAAAATATAAACATCTTTAAATATACGAGGAACTTAAAAAAAATAACAATAAAATGCACGAAATCTTCATGGGAAATGATGCAGAGTTAGTCTGTCAGCTTGAATCTGAGCTATAGAGGGTTTTCAAGAGTTTGCGTTAAGTCACACTTGACTTGCGAATAATATGCCAAAATTCAAAATAGATTCGTACTGATACTAACATGTGAGCTTTATCACATATTTAGTTATTAATTGCCAGTCTTTCTACTCGGTATAACTTTATTCTGAATTTCCTTTCCATACTTCGTTATCTTTCAGAAATTATAGGCCAATTCATGCATGACCTACTCCCATTTTCCAAAATTATGGCTTTCGTTTAAATAGAGTGCGAGGACACGACTTCAAGTCCCTGAATTAATATTTTATTCACATATTTTGGTCGATGGACTCAATAATAATTGACTAGTAACATCACAATTATTTCCTCAGAATGCCGGGTCACTAATTGCATTAGAATTTTCTTATGAAACGCTCTCGATGGTGAGGTCGAGGTAGACGTACTTTAATGCAACCTTCATGCGCAACTATAATATACGGTCCTGTGATGACGCAAGCTGTGATGCAATGCGCGCTGTGATGCATATGTGGCGTAAAGTAGTGAGTGAATAATTCAAGCTCCGAGATTTTACAGCGAGACAAATCCATCATAAATATTAGATGTTGCTTTTCAAGAGTTTCGCACTCAAGTGTTTCGTTGCAATAGAATAAATTGAAATTGCGAGCAAGAAAAATAATGAGCAGGAGAGACATGCCTCGATCCTATCTTGTTAATTTGTAGTTGTTATACATTGTTGTCTGAAAATAACTTTACGCCGTATACAGTTAACCACACGTGAAAATATAAAGCGAATATTGATATTCAATTCATAAGCGAAGAAACAGACCAGTTCCGACATCAAACATGTCATGGCTCGATAATACTCAGAGATCAATACATTACAGTCAGAGAATCAGATGATTCGACCGGAGTCACGCCAAGCAGTCTTCCAAAATAAATCATCACGGGACCCAACCGGCACGCTTGGAGCACAAAACTGAAGACAATCACGTCTTTCTTTGGGATTGAATTAACTTGGCAATTTTTAATCACAAAAACGAAATCTCTTGAGAATATTTTCTGGGGCTCTTAACAAACTTTAAATGTTCAACATAAATTACTTCACTCATTAATGCGGTAAAACGGGCGTTGGTACTTCATGATACATCATTTGAATACATTAGAAGATAAAATAATGTCAACAGAAATACGTAGTTGACGTTTGTTTGTGCCCCTGCATAGAACCAGTCAAAACTGACCTATGCTGCACTAAGATCGATGGATTGAAAGATAAAGATCACGCTCGCGTCACAGTCTCGACTCACACAGAGCAAAAGAAAATGCAGCCGGCTAAATAACGGGGCCATGACTCTGGCAATCTAGATGTGAGATGCAAATGAAGGGAGGCAAGTCTTCGGCACAGCGATAGTGCTGAGCTGGCTCTGCCCGCGAGGCTTATAGGAAATTTTGGGGAGATGCAGACTGCTGCCGCGGCTCGAAGAAACGCCGAGGCTTTCCTGGCAATATGCCAAGAGGACAAAAACTGGCCGCAGAACCAATTAACGAAGCCAAGGGAAAAGGAAGGGACCGACCGCTTTGGCGTGAGCATATGGAGCGTGAATGGTTCTCGGAAAATCTTGAAGAATTTCCAAGAACAAAATTAGGCGAGGAAGAGACGCAGGCCATGACAGCACGAGAGGCAGCCGAGCAAGCCCAGAGGCAACAATAACAGCAACAAGTGAAGCCTGGGGAATATCAATTCCCATCCAATCGAGGATATCAAGCGTGGAAAGGACGGTCGTCGACCAATAGGCGGTCAGCGACGGGATTTTCGTGCTTTTCTCCATCCGGTCGGCACCAAACCGTATTATTCGTAGCAAACCATATTTACGCACGTAAATAGCATCATGTTTAAATACTATTTTGGAACGAAAGCAACCTAATTGGCCAATTATAAAGTCGTGGCTAAATATTTGCAAATTTAAAAAAAAACTATTATAATTCATTCAAAGTACGTTGAAATTTACCGAATATCGACCAAAAATTATTCCTCTCACCCCAGTGGTGAGAAAATTACAAAAAAAAATAAATTTTCGTCTAGAGTCTAGAGGTATCCAAGTTTTTATTGATACTTCCTACTGCGCCGTGTCGAGTTTGATGAACACTTTAATCAAATTACAGAGAGATTTCGCAAGTCAAAATTGTGAAGGCTATCTGGGTCGGACAAGATGATGGTCATAAAAGCAGGCAGCTGGAACCGTTACAGAAATATCCTGAGCACTGAGCAGTCAGTCTAATATACGCGCGGCCTAAACAACCATGAAGTTTTGGGCGAGCTAACCAAGCCCCACCCACCGACAAAACCTGGCTGGTCAAACAAAGCCGCTCCACAGCAGCGGCCATCAGCTTTTTTTCCCTACTGAGGTCATAAGAAAAGCTTGGCGATCGTAACCGCAACTAAACATAAGAGCACAAGCAACCTTAAAAGAGAGTAAATATGAAAATAGAGCAAGTGCATAGAAATTGCTGACAACTAAATGTTACATGCTTTACGTTCTAACGAAAAGAAAGAAATATTACGTGAAAGCTTCATTAATAATGTATAAGGAGGAACCACCTACTAAATTATATTTCAAAATCAGCTCCATATATATACATGAGAATCTTGCTGACATATGCAGATTATTTAACTTGTCACCTAAATATCACAAATTCTTGTTTTTCATCGTCACTTTTCTGTCAACGTTATGCAACGAACCCCAATAGTACGGCAAAGAGAGCTCTGGGTCTAGCAGACGAACCCGACAGTCAGAAAGCAACATTCCATAACGGACTGTCTGAAAGCAACATTCCATATCCTTCATTGTTCCTTGTGCAAGGGAGAAGACGCATCCATCAGACTCAGCACCAAAATTACCCCACTCGGGACCTACTTTCAGAAAAAGATAACGATTTTGCACTAGATTTTTTGAAAGATATCTTTCTGTTGGGGTTGCGGTGGCTCGAGCTTCCATGTGATGGCTCAACGCGCACGCACGATTCAGGCGGAAGAGACGAGTGTATTTTTTACAAATACTAATGGAAGCGTCACGACATTTATGCGCTGAATAAAACTACAGTATTAACTCAGACTTTATTTTACGTATAAAACCCCTGTGAAAATAATCCTGTAGAGGGACTGGATTGTGTGGTCACGGCAAGTCACGCGATGCTGAGAAGAGCGAATGCGTGTCCATTCGTCTGTGCTGATTATTGTAATGCGGTAGCCAGTTACACCTAGCTTAGAGTTGGCTCCAGGACTGTATGTTGATGTTATGTGAGCATTGAGACCATGTTCGAAGCTACTTTTATTGTCGTGAATGGGCTTACATTTTAGCATTATTTAATTGAGAGACATTAAGATAATACATACTGAGACAATACACTGATAATGCATTTCGATGAGGCATAGTTTATTGTTTGACGATTGGACTATTCTTCCACTTTTTATAATTCCAGTTGTTGGTGCTTCTTAAAACTGACGCGAATTATAGTCAGACTAGTGTAGCTGACGGGCATTAGCGGCTGCTGTGTTGAGAGGCTCTGATGATCCAACTATCGATTGCCCAAGTTTGGGTTGGAGGTCACGTTTAATAAATTCGTGATCTATCCCGGTGATTGTTGGACGTCATTTTGTTCTCAGTATCCATATCGACATGGTAACTTTTTGCTCTATTGTGAAATGCTGAAAATAATAATAAAATTTTTCTACATAATACTGACACCGGTTAGTTGCTACGTGGAAGAAAATTTTCTCATTTTCAAAAGGGTTGGACAAGACTTGGCGTGGGCTCCTAAGCCAATTGTAAATCGTAGACCAGAAATGTTGGTGAAAGCGCCAAAAGTTTCCTAGCAGAGTAGGGTTCAGTCTGAGGAAATCGATCGGCAGATTTCATTAAGCAGCTCGCTAAACTCGATTGGCAGCAGCCGGCAAGAGTACGGGAAAGGTTTGTGAACACTTGATAAAAAATCTCATCAAACACTTACAATATAAATATTGGAATAAGTACCATCAGTCGTCCAATTCCCGTTTGCCAATTTACCTATCGCAGCTGAGGTCTGAAATTACTGTATATTATAAACCCATGAGAGATGACTGTACTATACTATAACTATAGACTAAAAACTATAAACTATAAACTATTTACTATAAATCCAAGGTTATGGATTACCATATACTCTGAACCCATGCGTTGCATTAATTGGTGTGTTTTGGCCTGATCGTGCTTGAATAAATTACTTAGCATACTGTACCGGTTTCATACATCGAAGTCATTTATAGTAACGCAAGTCAGGTTCTTTCAAATTCTCCTCATTGAGAAATTAGGGAACGCATTTTTGCGTTTAATTTAAGCTTTTTTTATTACAAACGTTGCAGCTCTCGTGCAACAACCCGTCAAACTTTAACGGATGGTCGTCAATCCTAACCCTGGACCTGTCCAATAAAAAGTCCATGTATTTTTATAGATATAATCAACGAACTGTTTAATGTACGACTTCGGGTACATCAATTGATAAAGACGGAAATAAAAGTATGAATTGCTGATGTAGAATCACATACAAGGCATAACGCATTTAATTCGTCGACTGGTTTTGACGGGCAAGTTTATAGTGATCAATGATCACGCATCACGAGTTGATGCATGCATACTTCAGTATTTATGCCCGAGCATAGCGTATTTCTACCCTGAAGAGAAGGCATAGATAATTTTCAACTAGAGCGCCTATAAATGTAAATAAAAAACACCCTTAAAGAATCGAGATAAAATTTGATTCACACAGATTCTTTTGAAAGAATATTTATCAAGCGAGTAACCTCAAATTTAACAACACAATTTGTGTCGTGTGTGTTCAAGTTCCTGCGAAAGAAGCAATCCGTGATCTAAAGAAAAATTTGTTGTTTACCGAATTGGCTCTTGAATTCTGAGAAGCAATATAAATGAATTTAAATGCGGTGAATAAGAGCCCGTTTTGCGGCCAATATAAACCCAATTAAAGACAGAGGAGCGGGATCAACTTGGAGATTGATTGGAAAATTGCACATTAGACATAAAAAGCACAAAGAAGCAGTGAACTCAAATTAGTCTCAGCCGCACAATTTTGAAAAAAAATCGTAATGTTAGAAAGTTTTTCACGCCAACGAAATTACCGAGTTTAATGCACTATTTTGAACAAATAATTAAAGTTAAACGATGGTGCAAAATAATAGGTCTACAGTAGCAGAGTGTGCGGCAGAGCAGACCATCAGAAGGTAGAAGGGTAGTAAGTCAAACAACAGTAAGGGGTCTATAGTAGCAGCGTGTGTGGCAGAGCAGACCATCAGTTCTAGCAGGGTAGCAAGTCAAACAACAGTAAGGGGTCTACAGTAGCAGAGCAGACCATCAGTTCCAGGAGGGCAGCAAGTCAAACAACAGTAAGGGGTCTACAGTAGCAGAGCAGACCATCAGTTCTAGGAGGGTAGTAAGTCAAACAACAGTAAGGGGTCTACAGTAGCAGATCAGACCTTCAGTTCTAGGACTGTCTCTTATACACATCTAGATGTGTATATGGTGCTATATGGAACAAATAGCGTGATATATGGAACAAATATGGTGCTATATGGAACAAATAGCGTGATATATGGAACAAATATGGTGCTATGTGGAACAAATAGCGTGATATAGGTATGGAACAAATATGGTGCTATATGGAACAAATAGGGTGTAATATGGTACAAATAGGGTGCTATATGGAACAAATAGCGTGATATATGGAACAAATAAGGTGCTATATGGTACAAATATGGTGCTATATGGAACACATATGGTGCTAATGGAACAGATATGGTTCTATATTGAACAAAATATCCAAATAGCGATGAACTTCTTGCCCCTGTTGGCCATACTGACCCAGTTTAGCCCAGCTATAGGACGTGTCAGTGCTACATGCAGAAAGTGTGTCATGATGACTCACTTATTTTCTGACTGAATGTTGCCGCTCAAGGCAAACTCTATGGCATATTGATTGACTCTTATGCTAGGAGGCATCGTAATGTGCTGGTCATAAACGTTTTTTCATTACCTTCATTAACGTTCATTATCATTACATAAACGTTCATTATCATTACAACTGTTTGCGGAATTAAAGTTTGATAGCAAGTCAAACAACAGTAAGGGGTCTACAGTAGCAGATCAGACCTTCAGTTCTAGGAGGGTAGCAAGTCAAACAACAGTAAGGGGTCTACAGTAGCAGATCAGACCTTCACTGCTGGTCAGGAGGGGCAGGGAAGTATAAGAGCAGCCAATCTCGGCAAGTGATAATCCAGGGTCCAGCTGAGGGACGGTCAGCACGCAACCTAACCTCAGCCCACCGCACTCTGTACTGCAGTACTCCAAACACACACACATTAAAGCCTTTTGTAATTTATTTCACTATTTGACTCGCATCACTTGCAAAAGATAAAACTTGTGGACTGTGGCTACCTCACTTGAGGCTAAAATATTGACTTGATTTGTATAGTTTGTTATTGTTTAAATCCGCGAAGATAAATCCGATAAAATTTTGAATTTCAAATTTAGAATCACGATTTTGGGGAAATTTTTGGACAGAATCGTCGATTAGTGACACATGAAATATGAATTTCCATTCCAACCATAAGGATGAGGCAAAAATTTATGGCTGCTGACGATTAGTGTTAAGTAAGATAAACTTCTCTTGGAATTACACGTGGAAGGACGCCCACCTCGTGACCTCATATTCAACCTATAGACCTATGCGCTAGACTATGAGACGAATAAAAGTATAATTATTTATCCTAACATTTTTTAACATTTATCCAATTAACATTAACATTTTGCCAAAAGTGAGGAAATGTGCCCCAGACTTCAACGAAAGTTTTCTCGTCCACGGCTCTTTTCATCGAACAACAGAGTTGTGGGAGTTACATTGTTCCAGAAAAATAAACAATATTTAAGCTTGGTGAGAGGTATAGAAAACACAAGAATCGTTAATGATGGCATAGGGAGCCATATGACTGATGGCACAGGGAGCCATATGACTGATGGCACAGGGAGCCATATGACTGATGGCACAGGGAGCCAGATGACTGATGGCACATGCTTAGGGAGCATGACTGATGATACAGGTAGCCATATGACTATTGGTACAGGTAGCCATATGACTGATGGCACAGGTAGCCATGACGAAGGGCTTATGATGGCTCAGAGGGCGACGACTAAGGAATATCAAGCACCTCATAAAACATGCTCAGGTGAAGGTCAAAGGTCAACACATAAAAAGATCACATCATGAACGATTAGAGAGCGCCGAGTTTACAGAAGTTTTGTAACGTATTTTTGGCGAATTCGTCATTTTTTCCTGTTGCAACATTTATCCTTCTTTCTTCAATTTCATTGGCAAAATGCGCCACAAAAAAGATAGGACTTTTATAAAAATTGGAAAAAGTTCACTAAAGATATGATCGAACTTCTCGCTCACCGGCCTAGATGTTAAAATGAATCAAAACGTAGCAAAAATTTAGGAATGATAGTAAATCAGTCAAATTTTAAACATATTCACTCCCTTAAAATATTATTCAATTTCATAGTTTCTTAGTTTGTGCTGAATGCTGATCAACCAGTTATAATTTAACAAGCATCGCAGACAAGGACATTAAATTAATTTAAATTTGAGTTGTAAAATCCGTAGACTTTTATTACGAGTTGTCTAAGTGCATGTAGGCGGCCAAGTTACGACTAATCCGTAAAATCTAAAGTGACATTTCAGATATAACGCAATGTATGGTTACAGAAAGTGATCATGCAAAATAGATCGGCACAAGGCAATAATAGTCAAGTAAGGCCTCAATTATAGTGAAAAATCACTCTAGTATGATAATATTCATGATAACGCAATGTACAAGATCGACAACAGCGATGGTGCACAAGCACCGTGAGCAGCACGAGGAGACGAAGCCGGGATCAAGCGTCAGGTACGTGATGGCATTATTTGTCGACGTTACCATCCAATATGGACGCCCCGCACGCCATCGCGGAATACATTACCTTGCAGAGCTGCTTTACGAGCGCCTACACACGAGTGCAAGGCGCTGAAAAATTCTCAACCGGCTTATTGGTGGCCACTGAATTCAGTGCCGGTCGGCCGCTGTAAAGACCGACATGATTTACGATAATGTAGATACGAATCTACGAAATTTAACTTAGATACAAAATGTAGATACGAAATGTAACGTTAAAATTGTGAATTTCCATAGAGCCAAGTGAGAATAATTGATTATTTGTCAGACTTAAAAGATTATAGTAGGTGAAATCGTAGTTTCATTGCATGAGAGATAACTCGAGGTTTGCCGTTAAACTAATTATAATTTCAGAGTAAATTCTAAAATCTCCAACTAGACAGACGCGTCCTTTCTATAATAAATTTGCAAAAATCAAACTCCCACAAGAATTACAATAAATTCGAATACAATTAAATGTGTAACTTTCAGATGATTTACCGTGCAGCAGCCGACGTCCGTTGTTACTACCTCCACTGCTGCAGCTAAGTGAGTCATCATCCTCGGGCGGGTAATAGTCAGCCTCGTTCCATGATGACCTGTAGTAGTCGCGTGCGCTCCTAGGGCGGTCTTTAGACAACGTGCGATGGTGTCGCGAACGATGCCGTGATGCCCCGCGGCCAGAGCGCGATTTGGAATCTCGACCTTGACTTTCCCCTCTTTGCTGGCGCTCTAAAGCTGGCGAGACTAGCCGAGCTGGAGACGCCCCACCCAACGTGATCATCGTGGCATAGAAGATGCAACAAAGGCACCTTCGCCCAAGATGTGCTAGTAAAATGGGCGATTTCAAAGGAGGACAAAAATAAGTTGAAAGAAGAACCGAGACTACATAATTACACCGACACTAACTGATTCCGCCAGCCACGAGAGATGGAGAAGGGAAGACGATTAGGATAAAACAAAGGAGAAGCGGAGGACCAAGCACCTTGATCGAAGTTATGGATAGGTGGAACTGGAGGCGGTAGCGCCAACCTGGAAGCGAGATGTTGGGGCCCGAGGACTCGATAATTGGAAGCGATGAGGTCACGAGCCTTTTGGGGCGCATGGCAGGCAACCATGAGGCCGGATTGGCAGAAGAGGCCCACAAGAGGGTATCAGGACAACAGTAGTAGTAGTTTTTTTTCGAAGGATGGTGTAGCACCAAGTGAGCTTACATCGAGACCATAAATGGTCGCTAGCCTGTCAACACATTATCCCGTAACAAATCATCACACTCTTCCTCTTCGAATTAAACAAGACCTCGATGATATAACTTGCACCAATGGAATTATTCGGCAACATAGCTTGAATATAGAATGCAATTGTAATTCATCCATCACCACAATATAATTTTTCAGGTTTCACAACAAAGACACGAGTGATTTCGATGCACACAAATTCAACGCTCTATGTCAAAGTAATTTGAAAAGACGGCAAATTGCGACCCGAGTTCCGTGAAAGCAGGTGGTGGACGTGTGTGAAAATATATGGCAAAATATTAAAAAAGACGATGAAGTCTACAAACCACGTGCGTGTAACATCAATTAGAGTGTGAAATGTCACAAGGATCACGCCTATACTTGTGTGACCCCACAACAATAGACAGTTGCCGGCGAAGTAACATGGATATCAGCAACTAATTTCGTGTATTATATCAATGATTGCATAACTTAGTCGTGACGTCAGAAGTAGGTTTAGACGCAATTACAAGTGAACGGACCACTTTAAATCTACAAATTATTCACTGTCATTGTGTTATATATTGTTAACAGACGATGAATCGGCCATGTTAGGTCGAGAATGAGCTCGGAAATGAGGGTCATTGGGACACATTGCGAGGACTTCCGCCGGCACGGGAGTCTAGGACAAGGAGCGGCAGGTCAGCGAGGAATGAAACTAAGGAAGGGCAGGATGAAGGCTTCCCTAGGAAAGCAAAGAGCACCTCAGGTCAGGTTAGGTCACCGGGGTATCAGGAGAAGGACTGCTGCAGCTCTCATCAGCGGACCTCTAAAACCCCTCCTACTCCTGCTGCTGCTGCTGCCGCTGCTGCTGCTACTCCTGCTGCTGCGGCCGCTGCTGCAACTCAATCTGGCTTTCACCACATCAGCGGGTCTACCTTTGCAGTGGATCTTTACTATGACGCATATAAATGGCCTTTAGATGGCTAGTAAAAAATAAATGGCCTTATCACTCCTCTTTTTACAAGCCAAGAACGAAATTACTGGGAAATTAAAATGCAATGCCAGTTAACTTTTATTTAAAACATTCGTTCCCGAAACTTTACTAATGCAATCCCCTTAAACCATTTCTTAAATTAGTGAGAAAAAATCCAAAGCATTAAACACAGAAATAAATAATAAAAATCAATAGTGGTGAAGGTGAAATGAACTTACCAAACCTGGAGACAATTTGGCCATCCATGCGCCGACCATCGGCAACAGTCTCGTCACAGGTCATAACCACATCACTGATGTCATGGTCATGACTAAATATAGACTAGAATTAATTAATTTAACAAAATTAATTATTTATTTAATTTAAGCAAATTCATTAATTAGTTTCATTAAAAGACAACGTGCAACTTCCTTTTGAACTCATTTAATTAATGGTGTTCCACGAGAGACAGCGCTCATCGTTTGAGTAACTTTTCTTAAGCATCACATATTTAACAAAAAAAATTGATACAAAGACTTTATGGTTGTTACTGTATTTAGCGGGCAAACCGAATTTTTAATAAATAAATTTAAGAATGATTTTCAATACTGAAAACAACGATCTTTAAACATTATTTCCCTTTTCAATTTAAGAGCTCTTCTGTTCCGCACTGAATGAACACTGCTGATAATAGAACATAATAACCAAGTTAATCCAGCCTAAAGGCTTGTGATTAAATTTATCTTCATAATTGAGCCCGCGGCGACAGATAAGATAAAAATTACACACAAAATGCAATACAATATAATTTTTTTTTAATTAATATACAATATAATGATCTGGACTTCTCTGTTCGAAGAATGGACTCAACTGTTTGCTCACTCTTATGAAAATTCGTATTTTCTTTCCGATACAATAAAATATTTATAACTTAATGAGCATTTTATTAAGCAATATGAATATATTTGAAAGCTCATAAGCACCACAATCAACGAGATGCTGCAAAATGTTTAGTTAAGAGGTCCCGACTTCTTGTATCGTCACACAATCGTATAAACACTTAGTTAAAGGCAGTCATCGTTAAATATGAAGCCCTCAATACTGAAAAATACAGAAAATTCTTCACATACAGAATGAATACAAAAAGCTCGAGCATTTGATAGCGAACTTCCTTAACAGAAAACAACTGCTACCACAACGGAAAAAAAAATTTCAGTCTCGGCATAAAATATTAAGACGGCTCAATTTACCACGCCACAAAAAAGCACGCGTTATTTTGAAATTATCAAGTCTTGAAATTCCTACATAAATCCTCGTGAAGAACGAATCTTGATCGCTCCATAAACTTAAAGCAAGCGTGATATTATCAGTATATTATTATAACGCTTGCTTTAAATTTATGGATCAGGATATTATAATCAGGATATTAATGATATTACAGCATAATATATAAAACAAGCGTGATATTTCAGCATAATCCGGATATTATTCGAAAACAAAACTGCTTAGGAAAAGCAAACGGCTATTCGGTCCAGCTCTCATAACTGACTGAGCGCGTCTCGTGACGCACGGTGACGACAATCACACCGTCGAGTCGATAAGTCACCACACTTCCTTCATAATATTTGCATGACTCGCTGCAATATACTGTACAAATCCTGCTGCCAATCGATCCAATCACTGATTCCTTAACAGATCGATGATATCAAACAGTGGTACGATGATAGAAAACATAATATTTGCATGACTCGCCGCGATACTGTACTAATNAAAGAAAAATGTACCAGACACAGTATAAATTTAAATGAAATTGTACCATGAACGGGATTCATATTTGGAAGACACGTCGGCATTGTATAGATAGAAAAAACAATGTACCAGACAAAGTATAATTTTAAATGGAATTGTCCCATAAACGGGGGTTCAGTTCAGAGCATTTCTCAACAGAAAATGTCAAACGCATATCGTGACATTCCTAGAATTTGATACCATGCCAATTTTCAAGGACATTCACTTGGACATACAAAGCAGCTATTGTGGGTACGTTGTCTTCGCAAAACCTCTGCTATGTAATGCACGACGGCACGCAACACGTCTTGACTAATGGATTCGCAGCTCACGCAGCTCAGGGCCCATACTTTCAAAAAAGTTAAGAGATCGTAAGTTCATCAGCCAATCATTGACGGCCTTTCAAGCAAAATCCACCAATCACAGACAAGAAAATAGAGCATAAGTATTTACGTTCACTTAGCGAGTTTTGAAAGTACGGCCCCAGGTGCCGGAGCTGTGGAACGCGTTAATTTAGAAACACGCAGCTGGCAACAGTGTTAAGAAGGCGAAAGGCGCGTCGGAGCTATCATGCTCATACAGAATGAAGGTGAGAGCCAATGTATACACGGTACGTGCTCTAAAACTAATGAATAAATGCTAATTAACAAGATAACTTGTCACTTTCAAGCAACTATAAAAGATAGAAACGAGAATACCGAAAAGTGCAACATAAAAATCGAGCGTATCGTGAGCGATAATATTTTCATTGTTGTGAAAGGCCAACCAATCAATAGGAAATCGATAGGAAACGGGACCTTCTTCAACCGCCTTAATTAAGGACTGGATAAATAGTCTCCAAAGTCATGGTTCTTTCAATTCAAGTCAAAGGGTTCTCATAACCCTCGTAAATCCTCGAGCCCGAGACCAACATAAGCAATCTTAAGCCTTATGAAGGAGGGCGGAGGGAAGGAAGACCGCAAAAGAGGTGGAAGTTGATGGCTCGAGAGAATGCGGGTCCCACAATTTATGACATGATTCGCGGCCGCCATTAAATTGGAACGAGTAGAGGAGGCTCGGCAGCATTCGACTCTTCTGGCCGATGAACGAAGAGCATCCGCGTCTTCTCGAAAGTTTATATCCCGGATCTTTTCCCGGACGCCAGCAGTAAGAAAAATGCGATAAGTTCAGGCACAATACGAAGTTCAGCTTAACTTTCAAATAACTGGATAGAAAGTTTTCACAATGCTTGTCATGTCTAGCATGAGATAACTGAAAGGAACATGACGTAAACTCATTGTCTAGCGTAGGTAAAGACGAGATATTTCCGGATAAAAGACATCTCGGATACGAAATATTTACCCTGAATGCGAAATTATACTAGTCATCTCGACTCGATGTTTTTGAGCTCATTTGGATGAACAAATTAGTGACTCATTTCTATCGCTTCAAAAGTCGTTAAAATAAGTTAACAACTTGGTAGGAATTCAAATAAATCTTTATTGGATGCATAAGCATGTCATCGAGTAGGAAATATAATATATCCGGTATAAATGAGAAGCAAATACTAGGCTTGGCCACACTTTTACCTCATAAGTAATGCAAAAAAAAACGCAAGATGCATAAGCATGAAGAGGACCACTTACCCAGTCTTTGAGTAACGATCACAAGATCGCTCATGTGACCTGATCCATCGGACGCATTAGAGACGCAGGATACAAGTGACGCGGCCGACCGCCGGGAGACATCCGACACTCCCGACAGCCTTGAAACTTTGGATTTCACTGAGCGACGACTCGAGCGCAATCGAGAATCCCGCGAAAC